TATATATATATATCAATCTTGCCTCCAAAGAGAAATTAAGAAATTAAGTTTGTATTTTGCTTTTCCTTCAAATACTCCAATGACTTTGAGCCTTATCAGCACATCTAAAGGAGGATTTGAAGTGTTCTAAAATTCATCACTCCTGCATTCAAAATGCTTCTGATGTAAAAATTTACATTTCTGTAGAGAAGCAATAAATAATAACCCTCTCAATACCTATAAATTTGCACATTCTGCTAATGCAGATTACGGAAATGCTAGAGATCCTACCTTAAGATTGCTACCATTCATTCAGTCTCGGATATGGCTGACACCCTGTACATATTTGTTTACAATACAGGCCACTCTCCAGGACCCCAACCCTGTGTTATTTCCAATTTGCATTTCTGTAGAGCCCTTCTTGGAGAGCACCAAACATTTATCTTCATCCCCAGTTATCCTGCCTTGTTCTTCAAATCTAGCGATACCATAAAACATCCCAAGTGCATGAGAACATAACTACCCAAATCTGACAAGTAGAAAGGAAATAAGAATGCCCATATGTTTCCTAAATATATGTACTAACCTACTGATGGGGACTACCTTTTGTATACAGACTTGTGTGACAAACCACTCAATGGTGAGGACGCTTAAGGGGTATTTGCACAGAAGCCATAAATGACTTCTCTGTGCGGAGCATGTGAGTGTGCTGGCCCTGTGCTAACCATTGCCAGACCCCTTTCTGCCTGGAATAGAAAGCATATTTTGAAAACATATTTTGAAAACTTTTAGGCATATACACTGTAGGTGAGAGAAAAGCCCACAAGTCATACTGACCTAATTCCAAATAGACTTGAGGAGCCATCTAATCCTCTACCTGACCCTCTCTTTACTCCACCACTAGCATAGGTGGCAAGCCTAGAAATGACACCAGATTTGTCTTCATAGCCTTCCCTGTTAACCACCACACTGGACAGCTCCAGACACTTTACACATGTGGCAACTTAGTACATCTCTTCGCACTGATTGATTTCTCTTCAGGAATACTTTCTTCAATCAAACACCATGGCAGCTAAAGAAAAATTCCAAGGCACAAGAGAAATAGCTTTCTTCACTAAGTTTCATCCATGCAAAAGCTCCATAGTCGGGTCTGAAATAAAAGGGCAGCCCCTTCGCACAGTCATGAGATTGATAAATATATCCCGTTTCACAGCACAGGAAAACTGGAGGTCACACTGCAGGGTAATGCCTCATCTCAAGATCAGATACACTTCCCAAGCAGAAATGTCCACAGTTTTGAAAGCTAAGATATGAAATTTCAGCTGAAATGTGAAATTGTACTTCATGAATTTGGCAAGCCTTTAAATTCTCCTGAGAGGATACTAAGGCTTATGTGCCTAAGTATCTAAATTGGAAATTGCAGCTATTCTGCAACACTTTAGAGAGTTTTACAACACATCTGAAAGCAAGAGTTTAGATTACCTGGCTCAGAGCTGCAAGATAAGCACCATAAGGAAGAGGGTCAGCCGCCATGCAATTAGTATTTGTGGGAAAGGTGGCAGCCCAGAGATAGCATCCTCTGGACCAAAACTTTCCACTTCAAAAGTATGGGTAGCAAAACACAACACAACTAAAATCACAACCTGTCCTTGCATCACAATTTGCAAACATAGAGATTCCTCCTCTCTGGCTGGGATTATTCCATAGCAAACTGACAAGCGCGATGGCAGAGAGAACACCTGGGAGGCAAGCCAGACGGTCTTCCACGCTAAAGCAGGCCTCCCCGCCTGACCTTTGGGCAGAGAAGCATGCCTCATGCTCCATGTGGTCCCCACCACTCTCCTATCACAAGTCTACTCAGTTCCACACTGTGGCACACGCGTGCCACTCTCCTATTGGCCCCTGCCACCACTTCTTCCTGCTCCCTTCTCCAAGACCTCAAATGTTTTTAGCTCTCCTAGACCAAGGCAAATCTGTTTACCTTCAATTTCACTCACTTGTGTTTAGTTCTGCTCAGTATTTTTAATGCATATAAAGAACCCAGAGGTAGGATATGTGGAAGACTGCCTCCTCAGGAGGGCGTGGAGAGAGCACAGCGGGTGTAGGATTTACAAGATAAAATGGATAACCGCTGGGTGGGAGCTGAAGAAAGAGCTTTCTCAATAGAGGAACAGTGCACTCGAAGCCTTAAAGGAGTCCTGAAGGCCATGGCAGCAGTGGAAGCCAACAGGCTGGACAGCTCACCCTTAGCACAGATTTTGAGACAGATGAGAAAACCCTTGTCTGACTCACTGACCTGACAGAACCTGATCCCAAAAACAAAGGGAAATCAAAATTTCCTTTTCTGTTTGTTTACTTTTATTTATTCAAAGATGAGACAAGTTCTGATTCAGGTCAAGGGTCCTTGTCACTCAATCAAATCTCCATCTTCCATGGAGTCTATTCTCATCATAGAAACATTACATTGGCATCCACAGCACACAGCCAGGTGCTCTTACAGCTGCTGATAGCTCTTATAGGTATCTATTGTTTTCCCTGGGACTCCGGAGGACCCCAAACCAGGAGCTTTTTTAGTTTTCTGTCTTCTAGTCCTAAAAGTGCTAACTAAGTGTATGCTTAGTAAATTTCCAGGACTGACTTACTGATTCCTCCAGGAGGTACAATAAGCGAAATGGGTTCCAGAGAGAAGCTCAAGAAAATCCCTAACCTGAAGTTACATAACCCTAACTAGTGGCCATAAATGAGCCAGGACAACAAAAGTGAACTTCAAAAGCAACTGTCTTTGAATTTGGTTCCCTTGAGCTTAGACCCCTCTTGCTGGCCTGGTTGGCTCCAGCAACCAACGTGACATCCATCTCTGTTCACCCTGGGACTATCAAGCCAGAAGGATTGGGTACCAGGACCTCTCTGGTTCTGAGCACACCTAACTGATTGGAAGGGTGTCGGGACAATCATTGCATTGGAAAAGTACATCTGGTCACAAAGTGAGTGCGCCTATGCCTGTGTGTAAATGCCAAGTTGCAGAAAGTTACCATAGCAACCAGAACAGGATGCTACTGTGGGTAGCTTTGCACAGAGACACAAAAACCCATTCTGTGACATATGAGCTTTTAAAGTGTACGTCAAATGCTGACAGACACATCATGATATCGGGCCCTCAATTTGGTATTCTTCAATGAAAGAAGTGGATTCTGAATACCTGCTACCCAGCCTCCATTCTCCGTCCACATAGGTCCCATGGCGTACGCAGTAAACAATGCACACAGAACCCAAAACGACCTCTTTAGAAAACATATAATTCTCCATACTCACTTTTATATATTAGCATGAACAGGCTGTACGTGCACACCACCATGACTTCCACACAAACTTTACATCTACTGAATAACCCAGCATTTTGTACATTGTAAGGAGTAGCAGATCCACAATGTTCCCATACCCAGTCAGCCTCCAGTTTTTATTATGTTATTGGTGTTTTAATGCAAAAATACATAATCCCATCAAGAATGTAGGTTGGTTTTAAGGACTCAACTGAGCTGCACTCCAGGAACTATAAGTCAACTTTTCAAAAGACCAGGTAATTTTTGAAATTACTTTTCCATAGGGGTTGGAGAGTGAGAGCTTACTCACCCACCTCCTAATGTTTTCAGGATGAATAAGTTTCTTGCTAAGAAGAGCATGAGAGAGAGATGTTAGAATTTGACATGTGACTCCTGGGAAGCCATGTTCCTGCAGAGTGAACTGGAAGATCAAAGGTATTAGGTAGATGTGGCTGGGTCCTAGACATTATCATTTCTGTGTTTGTTTTCTAGGATCGAGGGTGAGTTTTGAATTCTCTCCTGGAGAAAATAAGAATATGTACAACATCACTAAAGATAGAAATTGCATGGTAGGCAAGGTGAGACATCCATCTACACATGAAGATGTGGAGAAATTTGGTGAACTAGGTCACATGATGAACCTGTAGTACTTTGCAAGATGCTAGAGCAAGACCACAACCTCCTTCCAACTTGGTAAGAGAAAAGGATGGATTCAGAGTGGTGTATGCATCCCTGAAAGAATTTTGTGGCCTAAGAAAATGACAGTGGAGGTATCAAGGGAGTGAAACATAAAGAAACAAAGGAAAGGAAAGCCTCTTGATCAGGGAAGTCATTCTGTCTGCACCAATGCTTGTACTTATCTTAGGTGGTCCTGGGAACAAAGAGAACAAGAGTAAGAGACAGGAGTTAGGGACTTCTTTATCCCAGTAACTGAGACATGACTTGGAGATGTGGTGGTGGCTGAACTGAGGAGTCCTTACACCATGGCACAGAGGCAGGACGTCCCAGGATGACCACTCTGGCGAGGGAAACTTGAGTGCTTGGATGAAGGGCATAAACAAAGGCTGTCAAAGAATGTAGACCTGAGATCCAGCCAGCCAGCCACAACTCTTGGGCCTGCACAGGTCTGAGGAAAAGGAGTCAGAATCCTTATTTCTAAAGCCCCAGGAGTGGCTGGGGATGGGCAGACGCCCAGGGGGTGTGGAGCAAAGCCGAACATGTGGTCAGGGAATGTGGAAAAGGGTTTATGGGAGTGGAATGGATAGCAAACCAGAAGCACCTTGTGGATGCTTTCCTGAATAAAAGCTGGGTAGGAGGGCAAGGCTGGATAGGTTTCTCAGAGACTCCAGCAACCTGTTCCTTTGCGGCAGGGTAGATGAGGGAGGCTGAGGGCTCCACATCCAGACTCCACGGGGCTGGGGCGTCAGGTGCACTGAGCCTGCAAGTGGGTGTGGAGATACCTGGGAGCGGGGCGGATCCTGGGAGGTGGGGTGGGGGAGGGGAGGTCGTCGGCGAGTGGGCGTGTGGAGCCAGCCGGATTGGGGGGTAGGGGCGGCGGTCCAACGCCTCGGGCAGCCTCGACCTCCCCCGGGACTCACCTAGCACGAAGTAGGGCAGCTCTGTGTTCTCCAGGTCGTCCACCACTACCATTTCTCCAGGGAAGTCGTTACGCACCGAGAAGAGGAGCTTGGGTTCGGAGGCCGAGGGGCTGTGCATGATGCTCAGGTCGTTTTCGCGCAGGAAGGGCAGCGCCGACACCGTGATGCTCTTGAGCTTGCACTCCAGCTCCTTGGACGCATCCACGTCGCCGCCGGCGGTAGCCAGCACCGCCGCCGGCCCCCAGCAGCAGGCGAGCAGCGCGCAGAGCCGGGCTAAAGCCATCTTGAGCCCCGGCCGCCTTCCTCCCAGCGCTGCGATGGTGGGGGAGGAACGAGCGGGAGGAAGCGAGCGGGGAGGGCGCGAGCGAAAGCGGGCGGGAGGCGGGGGAGGCCGGGGAGGGCTAGGGAGCCGGGGAGCCCGGTCCCCGGAACCGTTTGCCGATGGGCGGGCGGGCGGGCGGAGGGCAGGCTCCAGCACCGAGGTCCAGAGAGCCCAGGCCCTTTGTTTCCTGGAGCTGCTAATCTGGGGAAAGGAGGAAGAAGGGATGGGGTGCGGGGAGAGAAAAAGAAAAGGAAGGGCGTTAGGAGGCAAAAGGAAGGGAGCTAAGGGTTGTAGGGAATCAGGTCAGCCCCCAGCTGGCTGTGGGTGCTCCTGCCTCTCTGCCTTGGCGTTCCCCCCCGCAAGAGCCGTGCTAGGCTATTAACAGCGTGGACTGCATTTTGGAAAACTCGTCTTTGCAATGCAAAATCCTCCCTGTCGCAGCATCATCTCAATGGCTCAGGAAAGGTACACGCACGCACACACGCGCACGCACACACCTTGTAGGGCTCTTCCTCAAAGCAGGTGTGTGTGTGTGTGTGTGTGTGTGTGTGTGTGTGTGTGTGTGTGTAGATTCTCCTGTGATTATTGTAGTTCTAACTCATTTTCTTTCCTCCCCACGTTAGTTATTTGAATTTTTTGGATAAGTGGGTGCTGACATAAATAGACATTTGTAGATAATGCACTAACTTTGCAGGATATTTAAAGAAAATATTTGCTATATTGATATAGATAGTAAGCAACAAGAACAAGAACAACCAAATTCAATGTACATTATACAGTTAAGCAGGCAAGCTGAAGTTTTACTTGCTATTTTTACCTCTTCATTTCGTTTCGGTCACAAATATTTTCTGCAGTAAGTAACAGATGATTTGGGAAATACTTTAATGGATAGAACAAAGCAGACTGTAGCTCACAAAACTTGTGCCTTTAATGTTAAAGAATCTCAGGAAATGGAACAAAGCTGGGATAAAATGTAAGAAAAAAACTATAGTTTCCAGGCACCCTTAGAAGTGGAAAACTAATAAAAGAATACTCCTGGAGGTGAGCCAGTTCAATCCTTACTCAGTCAAGATTAGAAAAGGGGAGACCTGCAAACTCTTGCCTGAGAATTCTGAGAAATTACACCACCACCATGAAAAACCTATAAAAGATCTGTTCCTTATAAGACTGGGTAGGGTTAGTCTATAAAAATGGTGACCATATACAATAAATAGTGGCATAAGTTAGCATTTGGGAAATACTGGAATCTGATATTTAACTGAACCTTGTCTCAGATGATAATCGAGAATTTTATTTCAAAAACATGCCTTTCTAACATTTACTTATTCAGTGTTCATTTAAATGCTGGCTGCTCTAAAGATTATATTGAGCTCCTACTCTAGGAGTTTGATGCATCACCCTTTTTCAAAAACTTTTTCTATGAAAACAATTGTTTTCTCAATCTACCTCTTGTAAATTTATTGACATGTTTAAATATATATATATATATATATATATATATATATATATATATTACAAAAAAGTGTGCCATATATTTCACAAGATTAATCTAGTTGAATATCTAAATAGTTTATAGTAGTTGAATCAGCCACATCTAAGATCACAGAGATTTGTTTATCACGAAAGGAAGCTTACACTTTAAACTTAGTTTTAAACCAGGAGTATTCAAAACTTAACCCAGAAGTATATTACCATGTGTCATTACAAAATACTGTGGCAAGGATACATCTCCTAATGACCTTTTCAAATTTTATCTTCATCTTCATTACTCCCTTAAGAGGTACTGAAGGAGACAGAGACTTCATTATGTCTTTCTTTTTTTTTACTGCCCTCTAACACAAAGAAAAAGCATTAAAAATAAATAGGCAAGGTTTTGCCATTGAGAAATTAGAGTAATGCCAGGAAAACATAGTCCTAGAATGTGAGAAATAGTATGAAACTACCAGATTAACTAGTAATCTAGTCTTTCTTATAGCAGATGAGGAGACTGGGGATTGAAACAGTAAGATGCTTTATAAGACCAATCCAGTAAGATGATGTAAAACTAAAACTGCAAACAAGATTGTGGGGCTCACAACAATTCATTCAAAGAACATTTGAGCACTTACACATGCTGGGCATTAGATTAATGATGGGCAGGGAAATGCCCCTCCGGCTTTTAGGTAACATGTCATTTACTCTGATGACATCCTTTCTAATTTTTTGAAGTCTTGAGTAATGTTAGAAAATTCAGGTGAAGCATTAAGGTTTAGTTTTCTATAGGTCAATATCTAGTCTTCTTAAAATTTATATTGTGCTGGGAATATTTGGAAGCTAGTATCCCTGTCCATTACAGACTGCTTCCTCCAAGGAAGAATCGAGCAACCAAAGCTTTGGAAATAAAATCAGTTTTCTCCAGAGGACTTGATTCCTATAAATATGGCATAAAATCACATAGTCACTTCTTCAATGAAATAAAATAAGTCAAGCAATATGGTATATGCCCGCAATACCAGCATTCTGGGACATTGAGGCAGGAAGATTGAAACTCCTATTGGAGCCCAGCCTAGCAAATTTAGTGAGCTGACAAGATCCTGTTTCAAAATGTAAAAAGTTTTTGGGATGTAGCTCAATGCAAAGGCTATGCAATCGATATCCAGTGGCTCAAAAATAGATAAATAAACAAAAAGGTAGATGGAAAACCCCTAGAATTGGTCGTAGAAGTTTCAATCAACAAAACCAAAATGTATCTCCTGTGTGATAATTTACTTTGAAATGAGATGGAGTGGGAAAGTAAATGCACGCGTCTGATCGCCACCCTTAGGCCTGTGGTGTGCTGAAGCAATCATTGTCTCACCCCCTAATGTTCGTACTTGAAAGTGAGTGCGGCCATTGTTATTGTCTACTTTCTGATCAATAAAATGTTTTCCATCATCTCTGCCTACCTCATGGACCATGGACAATGTATTTGCAAATATTTACATTTTAGAAAACACTATAAAATAGCAAGTTCTGTTGTCTTCAATCCAGACTTTCTTCCTTAGGTCAACCTTCCTGTTTCTAAACAACAGTTTCCTCCTGCGACTCTTACAATAGCTTTTGATAACTTTTCCTAACATCAGCCAATTCTATGAACGGATGCTAGCTTGATCTTGCTTTCCTTGTGTCTGTCTGTCTAGTTTTTCTTATAGTACAAACTTGAAATCAAGCACCATGGTTCAGAAATCTGAAGACACTAAATCTCATACTCTTTAAACCCCTAGATTGTCACTGTGTTGCATCCCTCCCCTACCCAATGTGTGTGCACGCACACAGACACACACACACACACACACACACACACACACACACACACACATCCCATGACAGCAAGTGAAGCCCACTTCCTGTTTTTCAGTTTTCACTCCACCTCTGTTATTCCATATGCTTGGAATGTATTCCTCTTCATTTGTCAGATTGTCCATCATTTCAGACTAATCTTCACCTTCATTTTGTAATAAGAATTTCCATCACCTTTCTCAGTTCCCCTCACTGAGCACTCAGTTGTGCTCACACACACACACACACACACACACACACACACACACCTCCAAAGTCTATTTCCAAATACAGAATCTTTCATTCACTATTTTACTTACAAATAGAAATAATAATGCATAATTTTAACGTGGTTATGAGGAAGGCACATGCTTCCTTCGCAGAGCCTCTGAAATATTTCATTGCTCAGTAGTGACAGCGTTTGCCACCATCATGTCACTGAACTATTTAAAGCAGAAAGCAGACTTGAGATTTGTCTTCACAAGATTTGCTCCACTGTAGTAGCCCATAGTAAATTCAATGATTTATACTCTTTGGTGCTTACCTCAAGAGAAATGAGTCATACATATGCAAAAGTTAAGTACAGGAACATCCTTAGCAGTATGCATAATAAACAACAAAAAAGATAGTTTAAATATTTATAAATAGGAGAATGCTATGTAGTCATGCAATGGAATACTACACAACCATTGTAAAAAGTACAACAACTTCATGAGTGACTCTCCTAGGCATAAAGATGAGTGAAAGAAACATGATACAAAAGAATACATACTCTAATTTTCCCTGTGGATAAAACTTATGATCAGATAACAGTAATCTTTAGTGACAAGAGTCAGGAGAGTAGTTATCACTGAGGGTGGAGGGTTCTGACTGGGAAATGTCAGGAGTATGTCTCTCAAAGTCCGAGAAGTGATGTGGGTAGTGGTAATATGAGCACATGAATAAGCAAATACCAAACTATACATGATTAGACTTTTTAGTGTATGTTTTTAATTCATTACATTTGAGTTACATGGTTGAGAATGCCATAGTAGAAGAAAGCAAGGTAATTTTTCCTTTGCAGGTTGCTTTCATACCTTCCAACTCTATTCTTTTCCCCTTTAGAAATGTTTTTTTTTTAATTAACTGTCCTTCCCTTATAATTGATATTCTCGGGACCAACTCCTCACACCACTTACTTACTCCCTTATGTTATTCTACAGTGACATACAGTGTCTTATTACTTGAGACAAATCAGTGGGCCTTTGTCTCTTGAAATGACAGGAGTAAATAACTCAGCAGTTGGGCAACAATAGATGTAGACTTTCACTGCTTCACTTATTTATTTCATCACAGATGAAGAGCTGGAGGCCCTGTAGGATGACCATTCTCTGGCATGTTCTATAGCATAGGCAAACAGATACCTGTAGCATGCAGAAGAAATGCTCAATATGTGTAACGGCCACAGGAAAAAATACAGGTTAAAATCAGGTATAGATGAAAATGAAAAGATGCTATTGCTGATTCCCCTATTCATACATCTGGGTACGGTTTTTAGATAATCTAGATGGGCATTAACTTGACATTCACTGGCCTCTTCGTTGTTTTATTTTTTCTAGGTCTTTGGAAAATAATCTCTGCTGTTGCTCTTCCTTTAAAGAAATTAAAGTGGGACTATATGCTGAGTGGATATTCTCTCCTCGTTCCCCCATCACATGACTTTATGGGATGCACCCAAGTGTTTTGCTCAGTCCCAATGCCCAGCTCCTCTGCTGTTTTGGACTTTTTTGTCACCAGGACCCTTCCATGTTGTTGCCAAAATTTAGCACATATACTGGTTAGTGGGACATATTTGCTTTGCACTTTCTTTAAAACATCAAAATATGTAATTTATATTCTTTAACCCCAAAGTTAACATGTTCTTCCTTTCCCTTTTCCTGCTCTCCTCTCTCTCCCTTCCACTTTCCTTCTATCCCTCTCTCCTTTTCTCCTTCCCTCCCTCCCTCTCTCCCTCTGTGTCTCCTTCCCTCTCAATTCATACACAGCAAGAGCACCTGCTTCACAGAAACAAGGCTGATCCTGTTCTGACTATTCTAGTTTTCTGTTAAAAACCAAATTCCTCTTCCTGGCACCCACTGAAGTGAAAGGAGATACACAGAAAGAAAACACCACAGGCAAAACAATTAACTTTTTTGGAAGCAAATATTTTTTTTTTTCTCTTCAGTGTCTCCCTAGGACCCTCAAGCTCTTCTCTTTCTTTTGTCTTTGGAGTCCTGGTGTGGGGGCAGCATGTTTCTTAATTTAATTGTCCAGCCTCCTCTCTAAATCTGTTTCTTTCCCTAGCCATCTTTCCACTGAGTTGCTGCTATATTTTGCTTCCTTTTCTCTTCCCTTCTATCTCTGAAGTGTGTGTGTGTGTGTGTGTGTGTGTGTGTGTGTGTGTACTATGTCTCAGTGTCTTACTTTGCAGCTTATTTCTAATTAAGTTGTTTAGGAGAAAGAAAAAAACAACAACATAACAACCACGGGATGAAGTCTCCAATTAGAAGAAAATGGCTCAAAGGGTCCTCAGCCCCAGGAGGACCACTGTAAGCAGCAAACAAAATGGGAAGGGACAAATGATCACTGTAAATCAGGAAGATGAGAAATAAAATGTACTTGGTTCCCCAGCTACTTCTTGTTCTTTGGCTTTCTTATACTCTGTAAACCTGATGAACTCCAGTCTCCACCCCCAGACTCGAATGTATTGATGGCTTCCTATGCCACAGCAAAAAAACTCCGTGCTGCCTGGCTGAGAGGGTTAACACGGAGCTGGTACCCCAGGCCGCCTGCTAACCAAAGGAGAGAGCAGTGGGACTCAGAGCCCGCCCACCTGCCATGCCTCCAGCCAATAGGAACCCGCGGAGAGTGTGGCGCTCTGTCCTATTGGCTGCCGGCCTACGTGCATAAGAAAGCTAGAGAGAAGCAGGCAGGGCATCATTGTTATCTTAAGACACTCATCTGGTGTCTGAGTCTGCAGGTGACACCGCTTCGGTACGGAGTGCGGAGTGGAGCGGGCACGCGCCGGCTGCAGCCTGGGACGGAATCCGCCAGCCTCGCCAGCTGCTCGCGGCTTCTGTGGCAGCGCCTCCGCGGATCGTGGAGGCTCCCGAGAGGACTTGTCCGGGGAAATGCACCTGCCGTTAGCGCCTAGAGCACCAGCAGCTCCGCGGGCAGCCGAGGAAGCAGGGGAGCCGGGGGAACGGTCTTTGCCCGGGTGCCAGGTTCTGGTTTCGGATCCCAGAGGGGGCGAGTGAGTCTCCTCAGAGTTCGAAGGAAGGCAAGATCTTGGGTTTCTCCTCGGTGCAGGGACAAGGAGGGACTCCCCTTGCTGGGTTACTACTTTCCTCCGCTCTCTCACCCCGCGCGCTCCCGGCCCAGAGCCGAAGCCTCACTTCCGAGATGCTCGGGCCCTCGGGGCTGCGCGCCGCTCCGCGGGAAGGCAGCGGGCAAGTGGTCTGAGGCGGCGGCGAGGGCGGCAGCAACCGCCAGCGGAGAGCAGGGGATTTTGAAAAGAGACAACCATTCCCTCTCGCGCGCGGAGGGGGAGGCTTTCGCGTGTCCCCACATGAGGAAGAGCCACAAGAAACCATGAAGTAAAAAAACTTTGGAAACCTGCCACCGGAGATGCTGCACACAAACCTGGGATGTTTCAGGAAGCTCCTCCCGGTCGTTGGAGGTTTGAGGAGCAGCTGATACCCAAGAGGGCTCTTGCAAGGATTCAAGGTAACAGTGCAGGGGGTTCCTGGTTTCCCCTTTTCCTTTTCCTTTTTGCTGAGTCCATTGGGAAATGGGTCCTTCTGCTTGCATATTCAACCCTCTTGCTCTGGCGCCTGGCGAAGGGAAGGATTCCACTTAGTTTCTGTCTCTCTCTGAGCTAAGCTGTGGACTTTGGGTTTGATTGGAGATCGCTCTGATTTTGTCTCCTGGTGTTGCATGGCTGTCACTCAGCTTGGGCACGCTGCCTGACCTATATTGCTTTTGCTTGGTTTAAGTCCTCAAAGTTAGTGCAACTCCCATTAGCATCGGAAAACCCAATCGGGCTGCATAATTGCATAAGATGGGAAGGACTTTTGCCTGCTGAGGAGATGCTGGACTGAACTGTATGAGGTTCACTGTGTTTGGCGAAGATCCTAAAGAGCTGAGGTGGTGATGCATAATACATCTGTATTCACATGTTCATGGATCCCCACAGCATGTCTTTGGAGGCCAGTTGCGTTTCCCCGTGCACATGCAGTCCAGAGGAAAACAATTTCCAAAGAGCACACCTTATAGGGTGCAAATAGTCTCTCCCAGGTGGAGGCAGAAGCCCCAGTGATTGGGTTGAGCTTGTGGGAGCACTTGAGACACTGGGAAGGAATATTCCTGTACTGAAGGGAAGGATATTTTGGTATCATCTAACACATCTCTCTCCCTGCTTCTGTGATCATCTGGAGAGGCAGTCAAATGCTGCCTGTGGGGTGTGTGTGTGTGTGTGTGTGTGTGTGTGTGTGTGTGTGTGTGTGCTTGTGCTTACAGCTATAGGCAGGAAGCTGGCTTCCCACGGAAGAAGCAAGCGTGTACAGCACCCAGCCCAGGCCATGGATGCTGGAGCGTGAACTTGTGAGCTATAGTTCTAGCCCAGAGGAGTTTTCTCCTCACCAAGCAGTCTTCTGCATGGTACATATTTATCCAGGGTATATAGACCTAAGCCAAATATTAACTGATAATCAAGCTAATGCACTGTAACATGATTGAACAGACCCCTTTGTAAAGAACTGTGTGTATGCTCTTTCTAGCCCTGGGAGCAGGGTGCCCTAAGCAGTAACGAATGTTTTGTTAAAAGGCTAATAATTATAAGAGGACATGCTTGCAGCCAGGCAAGCTGGCCTTATCCAGTAGGGACAGTGATACGTCAGTACAGATGAATACAAAAGATAAAAGTATATTGTCAGCCAAGTATTTCTGCCTCTGTCCTTGTCCAGCCATGTACACAGGTAAGTGTTGAAATGATTCTGTGTTTCTTTCTGGCATGCTCTTTGGAAGACATGCAATATCACGATTAACTAAGCAGTTAAAGTATTTTACCAAATCCCCTCCAGGGTAGTCTGATGCCATCAGGCCACAGCCAAGTGAGGCTGGAGTTTGCGTGTATTCCCTCTTGACTTCACACACTTATTGTATGTTATTTGTTTAAGGCCTGACCCTCTGGAGTTCCCTTTCACCCAAAGTAAGTTGCTTGACAGCACTGAGGACAGGACCAAGCGATGCTGCCACAAGGATCCTGTCTTACCCTATCATAGTCACTGCCTACTCCCAGAAAAGATGCACGCTTGCTTCTTTGAGGGAGGATATGATCTCAAAAGAGGCAGAGCATGAATACTAAGAAATATTTGGAAGTAAGGAAACAAATGTCAAACCGTAGTCTTCCCTGTTGGAGAGCAGCTGGCTCTAAGGATTTTGACAGCTGGGCTGCAGTCATGGAGAAGACAGAGGCATTCTTGACTCTTGTTTCCCTTTCCTCACCAAAAATGGAGCTGGTTTTTTCTCTCTGAATGAAGTGATGTGTGCTGCAGTGTAGAAACAAGAAAGGAGGTGGGGCTGGAAGGGCTGGGGAGGGCAGAAGTTTCCTGGCCTGCTAGCAGCAAGCTGGTCTTGAGGAGGGGAATAATTTCTATGCTGGATCTTTGAGCTCATCTTCTGGGTGTTCCTTTCTGGCCTCCTGACTGGTTGTTTACTGAGCAAGGCCAGAGGGCATAGAGCATCCCTGCGTCATCAGCTCCTCCTGATCCCCTTCCCCAAGGCACAGCCTAGCCACTGGGGAGCATCACTAACAGAGATCCCCTCAGAGAGGATGTTCCAAAATCCCTCTCTGGCTCATAAACAAGAGGTAATCTGGAGAGACTGGAGACATCTGCATGGGTACTTTCTGCTGACTGGGTTCCTGCAGTTGAGGTTTCCTGGTTAGTGTTTAACAAAATCCTGTGCCTTGCATTTTTGTCTATTTGGTTCTTTCATTTTTTTTTTTAAATAATAAGATCTTGTATAGATTTTTTAAAGACGTCCTTTTCCAAAGAGCAGAGAGCATTTCACAGAACTCTTCTAAGTAATCCTCACATCGCTTATTGTCTCATTTATCTTTGATTACCCTGAAAAGTAGAGCTGGAGTGACTCTAGCCTTCTTCTTTGAAAAGGGAGGGCAGAGAACCTCAGAATGAACACCTGCTTTGCATTGGGTCACACAGCAATGAAGAGAAGCCATGGAATGGGATCTGGTTTGTAGTGCTCCTGAACGAAACCCAGTGTCTATTGGCTCCTTTTCAGGCATGTTTTAATATTAGCAATTGGGCTTTGATTTAGCTTTTCAATACTTTACAAAGCTGGAAGGTTTTAGTGACCCATGGTTTCTCTGCTGGCACCAACCTAAGGATAGTGAGGGATAAAAGTCTTATGAGCATTGGGTCTCAAGGATCTTTTAGTCTAGTGAGAAAAAAATCAGCTTACCTCTGGGACAGGGAACATGATAATAGACATTCTACAGAATAGTCCAATACACAAGAAATCAAAAAGCTGACCCAAGAAACCTACAATTGATTTCTACAGATATCAAGAGCTGTTAGTATTCAAAAGAGGGAGAATCTGAATGGAGCCATGGGCAATGGGGTGGGGTTGGTGTGGGTAGGGAGAGAGGGGCTCTAGCTGGTAGACACACTAACTAAAACCTGGTGGGGAGGCTGGACACTCCAAAGCATGCATGATTCCCCATAATCTTCCTGAGCCACTGCTGCTCTGGCTACCTGGACATACTATATATCTGGTTTAACATTTTGGACATGTATTGGCTTAGAGAAAGTTTCCCTGAGACCCAGACAGAGGGATCTGAAATGTTAGGAATCTCCTGAGCCATTGGAAATTATCTGGCCCTCTATTGGTCCTCAAGTCTGATCTATACACAATGGGAAAATACTGTTCAAGGTCAGAGAGCTTATCAACATTGTATCCAAAAATTGGAATGAGGATATTGAGGCAAAGCAGGCAAGTTTCAAGAGAACATGAGAAAATCTCATATTTTAAAATCAGAATCTCTGAAGAGAGCTTTGATTTTCCTCCATTTCCTATTTCCCCACCCAAATGTTCCTCTTGGGGTTTACTTAGAGCCGGCAAAATGCCAAAGCCTTTAGGCATTTTGCATTGAGCAGAATATTTTCAAGCTTAAGATTCTTGAGCATGCCCATGTATATAACCTCTTGTCTCCCCTTCTCTTTCCCCTTTAATAAAACATATCCCATAGCAGTCACAAAGGAAGATACCACAAAAAAGCAGGAGGAGATGGGGTGTGGTATTGCCCGCAGCTGTACCACAGGGCACTGTGATTGCTCAGCTGAGCAGGAGCGAGAGCGGCAGCCTGCCAACCTGGGAAACGGCTTGAAAGGCTGAGGGCTGTGGCCCACCAGGGCAGCCTGTGGCTGGCCAGCCACACACTTAGGTTCCAGCAGTGGGCTTCTCTCCAGGGGAAAGATCAGGCACAACCTGGGTCCTGTGAGAGGCCTGGAAACACAGCCACTCAGTTCTTTGGGCTTCACTTAATTCACTTAATTTGAGACTTCTATTCAGGCTGTGTATTCAAGCTTCTCTTCAGGCTCCTATTCAAGTAATGGCCTGAGTGGCCCCCGTCTTACAAGACAGGAAGTTCGTACTGGGCATGAGAGAAGAATGACTTGCCTAAAGTTGTACTATACCTGAAGTCAAGGTATAGAGTGTGCTTTTGCCCCTGGAGTTCATTCTGGGAACAGGGCCAGGGACATTTCCCTGGAAAATCCTGCCCCAAACCTTGCTATCCCCCTTATTTCCTGTGTCAAATTACCATACAGCTGGGCTGTGGGTATGACACCTTTTTCCTTTGCTCTTTGGGTGCAGTCATGAGCATCTTTAGGGGCCGAGGTAGAAAAGAAGGACAAGCACATGGTTATGTGATTGGTTGTTGTGGATTAAGGTGTGTCCTGTTTGGGAAAGAAGTGAGAGACAGTTTAGTTATGCTTCAGCCTGCAAGCTGCAATGGGTTGGCTTTGTCTGATCAATGAGGGGCAGACTGACCCCTCTTTATATTGTCATGCTGCTATGCAGAGGGAAATAAAGTTGAGCAGCACCATTATTATGAAATCTTTAATACCTAATCTCATCATCCTTTTCTGAGCCTCATACAAAGTGCAAATACATCTGCAATGCTGGGCTGGAGCAACAAGTTGATACTGCACAGGCCAGGGCTCTAACCAGTGCTATCCAATATGGTAGCTGCTCAAAATAGCTGGCTTTTGAGGTTGTATTTTTGTTTTTTCTTTTTGGCCAGCTCAGCCCACCCTGAGGGCTGGGCTGGTGCAGCATGTAGTGCCTGGGATTGAACCTCAGTCCCCTGCACCTGCCTAAGCTGACCTAAGCAGGCACTTTAGACCGATGAGCTATCTCGCCGGCCTCAACAGCTGGCTCTTAAGCACTGGAAATATGTGCCATTCATGTAAAAATATATGCTAAATTTCAAAGTTTAGTTTTCAAAAAAGAATGCAACATATCTCTGCAATAATTATTTATGTTGATTATGTTCAGTGACAATATTCTGAATATACTGGGATATATAAAATACATTAAAAGTAGTTCCATGCATTTCTTTTAATTTTTCAACATGTCTACTAGGAAAGTTAATTATTTCTTTTGAACTAATTATTTCTTTTGGTCTAGGCCCTGTAGAATAG